TAGTGGATTACTGAAGAACACTTGACTGCTTTGTAAGTTTATGTATTTTCTTTCAATTAAATCTTCAATATGCTAGTGAGAATTGTTATGCTTTTCTATAGCATGTTTCAAGGCTGAACTTTCTTTCATACTCCTGTGATGTAAGGATAATGTTTTCTTGTTGTTTTCTGGCATGAGTTGTGGTATTTTCTTATATTTGTTTTCACTTTAACTTATGAATGTTGATATCTTAATATGTGATCATCATTTTCCCATAATTTGATCAACTAGAGTGTAAAAACTTCTTGTGATCTAGGACTTCTGACTGCCGCCTAGAGGAAGAAGTAGGTTAACCAAAAAAGGCTAGTGATATAAACATAGTTTCATGAGGGTTTTTGCAACTAGATAAGGGTTTTGAGGAATGTCGAGAAACTTCGTATCGTTACAGATACGTAACAATACGATGATTTTCATTCTTCTTATGATCTTGACAAAAGATAAGGAGGAACTTACATCTCTGGTTGTCAACAATCACATAAGAGTACTCATAGGAAAACATAAGGAAAACACTATACTAATGTCATAGGAGCATAAGCTTCATTACCTCTGAAGGACTCAAGGCTCTAACCTACCATTTATCTTCGCTCACTTTTTCAATCACCAGCCATTTTTGCCTACTTGCCATTTATGTTCCTTTCTTTTTATGATTGTTAGATTTTCATGTTTGACTTTGACCATTTAAAACTATTTTCAGTGGTTAAATAAATTAGAACTTTACATGTTATGAATATTTTGACATTTTTCTAATGGAATTGATACATGGACTTGTTTTCTTATATTACTTGATCAACATTTATACTTTTTTGATTGACCGACTTGCCTCACAACAATTTAGAGCATCAAGTTTCCATTTATGTACTTATAATATGTGGATTTTGAGACAGTTATGTCCCTTTAGTATGCACAACCATTGATTATGGAGCCTTATGAAAAAGTCAGAGGATCTCATTTTGAGATTCTTCATTATTAGTACATGACACACCTAAAATATATATTTTTTATGTACACATTTTTATATTTATTTTTGAGAAATTGCACTTTAATGAAAGATATTTGTGTAATTTTTCTTCAGGTACAATTAAATGGATGAAAAATGGTAAAAAGAGTGAAAAAAGATCAAAATTGGAGCAAAAATGAATCGAGGCAAAATTGAAGCAAAAATGAATCGAGGCGTCTAAGCGCCCAGGACTGGCGCTTACACGCCAGTTATATAGAGAGGGTCGAGCCTTATTTGATGATTTATTGAATTTGGATGAATTTTTGAAGAGGTGTTTGAACCCTTGGTAAAAACGTGAGAAATAGTGCATAGACACGAAATTCATTCAATTAAGGAGACAACTTTTATATGATTCATTGAATTGAGACACATTTTGAAGATACACCAAGACACTTCTTGGATTTTTATTAAAGAAGACTTGGATCATCAAAGCCAATGGCCAATCGCCAATCAACATCCATCCATCCAAAGTAACCGCCGTCGCCGCCGCCCATCGTCGTCGCCTCCCATCGTCATCGCCGCTGGCCACCGTTTATTTTTATTTTGAGTTTTAGTTTGTACTGTGAGTGAAGAAAGAGAATTCAAACGAACTTCAAGACATTTAGTGGAGAGAATTTGAGAAAAGTGTTTATCTTTGTGACTACATTTGATTTTAATTTAGACTTCTTGTTTGTGTGCATGATTTCAACTTTTAAACTCAATGGCATGAATTCTACTTTCAAACTTAAGTGTGGTTGTGTTTTCTCCATGAATTATGAGTATTTTTTTTATCTTTTTTCTTTAAAATGATAAGTGATTAAGTATTAAAAGTGAGTTGTGTGAAATATTAGACTTTAATGTTGGAAAAAGTTGTGATGATTTTAAATCTTATACTTCTTGATTTGATCAATTAAGATGTTAATACCTATTGCGAGAACATGTAAGATTCGAGATGATATTGTCTCAGTCAACAAATGGTAAGAATCACATTTGATTTCATGAATGAGAATGTAGTTCATGGGGTTGAGTGCAAGTAATAAGGAAATAAACTTTGAAGTGTGTAGAATTATAGGATTTTAGAGTGACAGTCTAAAGCCCCCAATTTGATTTATAGTTTTAGGTTCTAATATGAGATGTTAGCCCCCAAGTAGAGGGAGAAGCGAGAACTTTAGAGTGAGAGCTAGTATCTTCCCTACCTAACCTGTCTTCAAGACTATTCAAAATATAAATTAGCTAATGTTCTGTTCTTTAAGCTAATGTTCTTTATAACATCTCTAGTAAGGGTAAATAATGTTATTGCTTCTATTTGGTATAACACAATTAGAATACTTTCACAATATAATCCTATACTTGTTTCTGATTCATGATAAGGAAAAAAATATTTTATTTATATTGTCTTCATCTTGCAAATATTTAGTTAATTAAATTAATTTTTTACTTTATTTTCAATTATTAAAAAATACAAAAAAAATCAAATTTTCATTCCTATTATAGCATCTAGCATTTAAGTAAAAAAACTTTGCTAAGTAAAATTTTGTTATCTAATTTCTTCTATTTTGTAAAATTGTATATTGTTAGTTATCCCTGTGGGTTCGATATTCAGGGCTTAATAAAAAAGTCTTATATTACCTGATAATGATACGTATACTTGCGTAGTATCCCATATTAAATATTATAATTGTATTCTTATTTGCTTCATATTGAAAAATTTACCTAGTTTTTGCTTGGGATCAAGTTTTTGGCTTTGTTGCAAAATAAGAATCGTTATTAAGAAAATTAAGCATATAAACACATATATCACATTTGACATCTATAAAGAGAATCGAGATCAGTACACAATCTTCAAGAGGTGAAAAAGAGGTTCCTTTTATAGCAGAACGACATGTATAACTGGGAAACCGAGTAGAGGCATGACGTCCCAAACTTTGAGAATGTATCTTGGACTGATGGGTGTTGGAATGAGAAGCTTATGTATTGTGTTTGTAGGCCATTAACAAGGTGTAAACTTCTATCAATGAGACTCTTTTCCCACAAATGTGTCAAGAAGTTGCGTGCCAAAAAATTCATGATGATAGAATAATATTTATCATCTATGTTGCAAGAAGGTCCAACGCTCACATAGACAAAAGAGTAAACACCAAGATGTTATACATGGAAAAACCTAGAAAGAAAAAAAAAACTATGGGGCCATGCCCAATCAAAGTTATCCATTACAAGTTTGTAAGACAAGTGTGCAACCTTTTTTCATAACTAGAGGAACGAGGATACTATTTTACTCTATAGATAACACTTGTCGATATACAAAATAAAGAAAACACATGTGTTAGGAATGACATGTGTAATCTGGCTAAAAGAATTGTAAATATTGGTCACTAGTGGCTGGTGGTTTGCAACAATAGGTGGTAATAGCCGGTGGTGGTCGATGGTTACAGAGGCCCAAAGTTATCGCTAGGAATTCAATACGGGTGTTATACATTAAGAAAATATTTGGGTTAAGAGGTTTGCATGTAGGGGTAAATGATGACTAAAGGTCGACAATGACATGTTGTAACGGACGGCGATGGTCGATGGTGGCTGATGGGCAGTGGTCTATGACTACAAAGGCCTAAAGTTATTAATAGGTCTTCACCCCAGAACATACTCTATAATTCTTCTTCTTGATCTCCTCTAGAGGAGTTTTATTTATGGCCTCTGAAGGAGGTATATTTTGGCTTTTTGATGAATAAATTCCCCAACCACATGATCAAGCTGCACATATTAATCGATCATGATCATAAAAAAAATATTAAATAATTTTAGGCCTTTAATGACATCATAATTGAGTTATCTTAGACTAGTTTGATTTTTCATGTCGAGATGCCCGATTTGACAATAAATACATTGAATTTGGAGTTCATTTGATTATTCAATTAAACCTTTAAATATTCTTCAATGGTTTGATTTGGACTTGATTGGACTCATATTAAACCAACTATGACACATTGGGTTCATCTTGTCATGACGGTTAGTTTGACTATAACATTTTGGAATCGAAGCCTTGGATGATTTAAATTAGAATTTAGAACGTTTATTGTTAAAAAAAATGTATCAAAATTTATCCCGAATGACAAAATTTTCTTGACAGCACATCAATTATAAATTTAAATAAGTACCCTGTGAACAAAATTAAGGATATTTTAATTTGAAATGAATTTTTGGATATTTTTTCCAAAAAAAAAAATAATCGTCATATTTCTCTAATTTTGACTATTTTAAGCCATATAAATTCAAAATTTTATTGGTATACTAGCCCTCAATTTATTCATGTTTAATTAACATTATATTTTGAAGTATTGGTGCACTTTTTTTTCCCTTCTAATAAACAAATATATTCATGAAGGGTTGGGGTAGCTTAGTGACAAACAAGATTAGAGATTCATCTCACATGGTTTGGTCACATTAAACGTCGATGATGATCCAGTTAGAAGATTAGACGATTTAAATTTCGACTTATGTTAAGTAATGGTAGACCTAAAAATACAGATATGTTCTATAAAAATTGTATAATTTATTAAAATTAAATAAAAATATAATTTTCAATACAACACAATGATTAAAAATGATTTATGTTTGAATAAATTATTGATGTTGTTATTGTGCCATATATTAACAACATAAAAATAAGAAAAATCATGCAATTCATGAAAATATCACATGACAAGTTGTGGACTTCGGCAAATATATTTTTCAAATTTATTAAATTTTATTTGGTTATGCCGACAACTGGCACGATATGGCCACTAGTGTACTCCCACAGTCCACTGCATTTATCTCCACCGGAAAACACGTAAAATCCCTATATTACAGGCTTTGTCTAAAAAAATCCTCTCCACCAAGATACACTCCAAACAGCTAATTGGAACAGCTCAAATTTCACCACGTCATTGTATACACTTTCAAGTCAAAGCACATGAAAGCGAGCCTGGAGCCATTGGTCTTTTTTGTGCACTTTTACTTCTACTTCCCCTAGATGGGATCAATGGAAACGGGGGTTTCTTTGAAGCGAGGCGCAGTGCTCCGCTCGTCTCCCTCGGCCGCCGGCCGTTGGTTTTTTCAACGACCGAGGTCCAGGATAGCGCGCTTCCTTCTTTTCGAGAAGGTCGACTATGTCCAGTGGATTTGCACAGTTGCCGCCTTCTGCTTCGTCGTCATCCTCTTCCAGGCATTCCTCCCCGGTTCTGTCTTGGAGAAGTCCACGAGTCGGCGCACCTTTGATGTAGACCGAGGTTTAGTGAATAGTAGTTTCCGCGAATTGGAGTTCGGGGATGGGATTCGTTTTGTGCCGACGAAGCTGCTGGAGAGGTTTGAGAGGGAAAGGAAGGAGGCGGATTTGTTCTTCAAAGTATCGGGGAGGCCGATGAGGCGGGCGGGGCTCAGAAAGCCGCGGCTGGCACTGGTTAGTTGTCTTTTAGAAGGGTGTTTTTCGTTTTGAGTTTCTTGCGGTCTAGTATTGATTTGATTTGGAAGATATGCTAAGTAATGGGTGGCAGGTGGTTGATGGACTTTCGCCGGATGCTATGCAGCTGCAGATGGTTAGCATTGCCGTTGCTCTGAAGGAGATGGGATACGACATTGAGGTATGCACTTTAGTGAGTTTGGCGCTTGTTTGGTTGGGGCTTATTTCTGTTTAAGCTCTAAGTTCAACCTGAAGGGAACAATTGTAACGCCAATTTATCTTCACATTATATTGCTCAAGGCTTATGTTGGGGATGGGATACGACATTGAGGTATGCACTTTAGTGAGCTTGGCGCTTGTTTGGTTGGGGCTTATTTATGTTTAAGCCCTAAGTTCAACCAAATAGCCTGAAGGGAACAATTGTAACGCCAATTTATCCTCACATTATATTGCTCAAGGCTTATGTTGGGGGAAACATAAGCTGAGTTCTTAGAGTGATTACACATTTTTCATTTTCATGACATCTGCCAGTTTCTCGACTATCGTTCTTAAAAACGCTTGCTTTATATTTCTCCGACAAGTTATCTTTTTGTATTTCAGCACTTTGTTTCTCTAGTGATTACCCTGGCTGTTACCCTTGCACGCTCAGTTGTCACACTTAGCCGCTCGTGATCACTCTCTATCAACTACCGTCCTCAGATGAGTTATGAAATAAGCTTAGAGCAGAATGCAATCAAAAAGTTTATAAGCTAATCCTAGCTTACATCAATTTATCCTTTTCACTGCTAAACATCAGACATTTTTTTCATCAACCAAACAACTTTATTATTTTTTTACCAAACAAACAACTTTGCTTTGTTTGAGTCTTAAGCTTCTCATCGTCTAATTTAACCATGGATGTCAACAACAACAACAACAAGCCTTTAACCATAGATTTCAATGATATAAAATAATGATTGTCATGTTACATTGCATTGCGCACCAAAATTGTAACAACTATATATGCCATACATGGGCAATGTCACATTGCTCTTATGGTGCATGCTTAGTTTTTTTTTTTAAAATTTGATATGAAATATAAATATAAATATTAGGTCGGGGGGGTGTGTGTGTGTGCCGTGAACCTCGGTCTGTTCGTTGACATCCTCGGTGTAAGAACTGTGAACCTCGGTCTGTTCGTTGACATCCTTGGTGTAAGACCCTTCAGGTCGGGGGTTCGAATCCTCTCTGGCACAGTTGATTTTAAAGAGGTGGTACTCAAATAGTTAGACACATTAGGAGTGATTGGAGACTCGTATAATAACCGCTGGTCATTTCTTATATATATATATATATATATATTATTGATTCATGTTTTGTCTTTGAATCAGACTTAAGGAATAGAGCATGAGGAAGAAGAGAGAGAGAGAGAGTGAGAACTAGCTAATAGAATTGTAAAGGACCTCTATTATCATGAGAAGAGGCATGATTCCATCTGATTGAGAATCATAATTCATTTACATGTAATCCCCCCTTTTATACGGGTATTTTCTCTACATAAATAACCATAGGCCATCATTATGCCTAGATCTCTAGGGACCTCTAATTGTTGTCTAGTCACATCATCATTTAAGTCAAAGTTTTCCCCGTGGATTTCCTTCTCGAGTCTAGTGATTGTGTGGCAAATGGGTCGCAACTCAAAGGTTTCATTGATGCATATTCTCTTTTTTTTAGGAATTTCTTTCTTGACATTCATACTCCACATACTTGTAATCAACCACTCATACATGGCTGATCGACCTGCGTGAGTTGGCAATGTTGAGCTGGGTTTTTTGTCATCCTTGCTTTGGACCAGAACCTTTAACAGGCTCAGAACAAAATGGACGCCCATTTAGATAGATTCATTCATGTTAGTCTGCATTAGTTAGCTATTAGTTATATATATATATATATATCTAATTTTTGGATTCTCTCGTCTCTTTGAAAGTTGCTCTGCGATAAGAACGAGAAAATTAATATATTGAAGAATTATTATAAAATTTAATTGCCATTTACTACATGGATTCTCCCTCAAAATTTGGACTCAATACTTTTAAATAAGGCAATGGGCCGTACATGAGCCCATTTGTGCTTTAGCTCCTCTTTTCTCCTTGCTTCGATTGTTTACATTCGCTCGTAGCGTCATGAAAAATCTCAAACAATCGAGCACCGACATTCCGTATGAAGATTTGTTGTCGAGTTTGTACAACAATTAAGTAGGCGAGTGGTCTTAAAGGGCACAAAATAATAGTGAAGCGAAGGAAGGGGAGTTTGACTTCCACCTAGGGAGAGACATCATGGATGATTCTCATAAGGGTGATTGCCATAGAGATCCGACTCGTCGATGGATGACCCGACTAAGGACCCTCTTCTGCAGGCAAACAAACAAGCATCTGGGGAGCCATCTGTCCCTGGAATGTGGCATATTTTAATAAGTTAATTCCTTTTGAGGAAAGGCTTCTGAGTGAAAAAAGAACTGCGAGTTGACCCAATGTCATCAATAGATGTTCTTTCAGAGTCCCATAGGAAGGAGTTGTCTGAGGAAGCGTCCGCCAAGCTAGAGGAGATACAAGGTATGTCTGCTGCGGCTTTAGATGTGCCTCCTATTCATTTTATCCCTCTGACAAGCAAGCAAATAGGTGTGGCGAGTGGGGAGGAGGCTTCCATAGTTGAAGATGTTGTTGAACTAGCTCTATAAGAGTTTGCACACAAATGGATAGGAAAAACATAATTGAGGACAAACTAGCCCTAAGGAGCAGGAAGGCACTTACCTTTGCTGGCGCCCACAACATGGCTCCCCCTCAAAAGAGGATGGGGAAGCCTTCCATAGTTGAAGAGGTTGTTGAACAAGCTCTATAAAAGTTCACACACAAGTGAAAAGGAAAGACAACAACTAAGGACGTTCCGGTCCCGAAGAGGAGGAAGGCACTTACCTTTGCTAAAAAGACGACTACAACATTGATCCCCCTCAAATGAAGATAAGGAAGCAATTGTGAGGCTAAGTGGGGATCATAGGTAAGCTCTGATGGATATGACTCTGAACTTGAACACTGAGTTGGAATACAGAGTGCGACTCACCTATCACTTGGGCTCAGTTGTTTATTCAGCTTCTTTGTCAAAAAATTTCAAAGGCCCACACAAGAGTATCTTGTCGCTGGAGATTTTGCATTTGTAGGTGATGAGCTTGCAGGCTTTCCATACTATGGTGAGGTGATATCAAAAAATGACATAAGACCTTTCAAATGAGAGGAAAGGGTGAAAGGGCAATGAGAAAGTGGTTCTTAAGCTAAAGGAGGAGAATGCAACAACAAAAGCTTTCCATAGTTGAAGATGATGTTGAACCAACTCTATAAGAGTTTGCACACAAGCGAATAGGAAAAATATAATTGAGGACAAGCCAGTCCTAAGGTGGAGGAAGGCACTTACCTTTGCTGGCGCCCACAACATGGCTCCCTCAAAAGAGGATGGGGAAGCCTTCCATAGTTGAAGAGGTTGTTGAACAAGCTCTATAAAAGCTCACACACAAGTGAAAAGGAAAGACAATAACTAAGAACGTTCCAGTCTCGAAGAGGAGGAAGGCACTTACGTTCTCTAAAAAGACGACTACAACATTGATCCCCCTCAAATGAGGATAAGGAAGCAATTGTGAGGGTAAGTGGGGATCATAGGTAAGCTCTGATGGATCTGACTCTGGATTGGAACACCAAGTTAGAATATAGAGTGCGACTCACCTATCACTTGGGTTCAGCTGTTTATTCAACTTTTTTGTCAAAAAAATTCAAAGGCCTAGACAAGAGTATCTTGTCGCTGGAGCTGTTGCATTTGTAGGCGATAAGCTAGCAGACTTTCCATACTATGGTGAGATCATATCAAAAAATGATATATAACCTTTCAAAGGAGAGTAAAGGGTGAAAGGGCAATGAGAAAGTGTTTCTTAAGCTAAAGGAGGAGAATGCAACACTAAAGTTGACGAACAACCGACTGAAGCTCTGGTGGAGAAATGCGCCAATTTGAGCGATGCAACAAGCTTGACTATGAACATCGAAGAATGATAGAGCAAGTGGCTATTATGAAAACTCTTGAAGAACTCGCTGAGGAGTTATCTAAGAATGTTGTGCTGAAGGCCATCCTTCATAAGAAATTCAAGAACATTGTTCGCTATTGTTTAGGGTATCTGACAAAAATCATGTTCTCCCCTTGGAATGGGCAACTATAGAGAAGTTTAAGTAGTTTCTTAACCAAGTTCAGGGGAAGAGTAAAAATGAGCGGGAGGGATTTTACGAATACACGATATGACTTGTTTAGCGAGCTTCTCTTTGCCTTTTTTTGTATTTTTGATTTTTAATGAATGAAAAAATATTTGCATCATTGGGCTTGTTTTTTGTCAAGGTAAATTGGTCATTTTTCTCTATTGGACTATTAAAAATATTCTCATGTGAAATAACTGTAGTTATGAATAGCGTTTGCTTGTACGAATACCATGAATTTTAAATATATTACAGACCTTCTCATTTAAATGAACTGGTTGCATCATACCTTTGACATTTGTTCATGCAATTTCATATAGAAAGTTTCTATCTGATTCAGACTTGCAAAAAAAAGTAGAACAAGTAGTATCTGAGTTTTCTCTTGTCATTATAGGGAGAAAAAGTGTAATCATATCCAACGAATTATATAATTATAAACCGAATTGCAGGAGTGGTCTTGCTTCTCAAAAAGTTTTTCTTTGTTGTACACATGTGAATGTAAAGATAAATATAAGTGGCCAAGTGGCTTAGCCTATTGCACTTAATCACTTTGTATGAATAAAAGTAGACTTTTCATGCCCGTGGCTCTTATATTATCTTTAATAAAAAATGTTAGTGATTTGCCTTTCATTTTGTTCCTTTATGTTAGTGATTTGCCTTTCATTTTGTTCCTTTTTACTAGTCTGTGAGCTACTTAGAGTAAGCTTTTGTTCGATTCAGCCTCTTATATTATCTTTAATAAAAAATGTTAGTGATTCGCCTTTCATTTTGTTCCTTTTTACTAGTCCGTGAGCTACTTAGAGTAAGCTTTTGTTCGATTCAGCTAATAGGGATTGCAATCCGACTCGAGTGCTATCTTACAGGATGTTGACTCTTCTGGGCTGAGTTCCCTAGGCTTTTGTCATTGTGAGTTTGCCCTCATGATTTTTAGAGAGCTCGATCATTTTTGCATGATTCACACAAGTATAAGAGTAATATTGACCATTAGTTGTCTAATAGTTAAATTTTAATTGTACATGTATAAGATTCGCTTAAGAGTTTTGTTTGATCTATTTGCTTAGTTGAAAATTATTCTTTGCCTTTGGAGGGCTTTCGACTCTCTTTCAGATCTTATTTCTTTAGGTTCTTCTTGAGTTACTACAAAGTTTTGTCTCTTGAGGGTTTTTGGCCTTCCTAAAGCAATAGTCAATTGTCTTTCGACGTAGTACCTTAGCTTAGCCAAAGTTTTAATGACTTAGCTAATAAACTTTGGTCAATGTTCGTATTTCTTTAAGTAATTTTATAAGCAACTTATCTAGGCGAGCTACCCGAGCGACAGAGTTCATAGCTTTAGTGATAGAATGTCTTCAAGTCATCTCCATTCCAAGTTTGGAGCACTTCTTTCTAGGTGTATACCTGTAATTTATA